GCTGTCTCAGCCATGACCCACTTTGGCCACTTACTGGCCATCGGCTGTGCATGGAGCGGGAGGAGCAAGTGCTCATCATCCCTGTCATTCCCACTCCTTTCAAGCTTATTAAGCAGGACTGTCTCCGGAGAGCACAACATGGGGAGCTAACAATATGGCCACATCCTTGGGTCAGGTTTTGGTGCTCTGCTTTCTGCTTGAGTGAACAAGGTGGGGCTCCTTGAACTGTGAGTTGAGGGAGGAGCCATAAATCTTTATGAAACAAACACCTTTTATTTATTCAGCTGTGTCCGAACAACTTTAACGGGACCTGTTTCTCGTTTCTTGTTTGAGCTGTGCTCCTGCTAACTCCAAGAGCGTTCAATTCTGTCTGTTGACTGTGTTAAAATATTTTATTGCATTAATCTCAGACAGATTAATCGCATAGATTAACGCATAGATTAATATATGTATATATTGTGGTATCAAAAGGGGCCAGTTAGTAAATGGCTGCTATATTCCTGCACAGGATTGGTGGCCAAATCCCAGAATGGCCACCATTGCCCACGACACAATTCCGTGGGCAATGGTTTCAGGATGCACCCAGCTGTAGGCGTTTAAGGCACCTAATTGATGCAGGGCTGGGCAGCTTGAAGGACGGATTGCTGGAAGAGCAGACTGGGAACGGGCCTCTCTGCGAAGGAAGAAGGATAACGCAAAGAATTGGAAAAGCTTGTAACCTGGATTGAGTTGGCTAAAGAATTCAGATTTTTGTTTAAGGGAACTTTTTTTTTTCCTAGGGGACACTTTATGTTGGTGATGGAGATTTTTGTTGTTTAAAAAAATTAGTTTTCTGTTTTTATAAGAAGAATAACACTCCAACTTCTTTTAACCCTTCTAACATCGCCTAGTTTTTAGTAAGATGGCACTGGCCCACCCTGGCTACCTCTTTACAGTATGTATGTATATAGATCGTGCAGTTTGCTTTGCTCGCCACTCTCCATCATTTACGGCTGTGTTTGCCAATAATCTCCCAACATTTAGACAACATTTTCAAACCACTGTGTCCCTAAAAAACAGTGGTGGTAAAAATATTTTATCCCATCATTTTTTGACATTAAAAAAAGATGTATTTCATGTAATAAGTATTTGATCACCTACCAACCAGTAAGAATACCGGCTCTCATAGACCAGTTAGTTTGTCTTTAGGAAGCCGTCCTGTTCTCCACTAATTACCTGTATTAACTGCACCTGTATGAAAGACACCCCGTCCTCGCTGAAACAGACCAGAAAGCTGTGTAAAGACATCAGGAATAAATTTGTAGACCTTCACAAGGCTGGGATGGGCTACAGAACAACAGGCAAGCAGCTTGGTGAGAAGGCAACAACTGTTGGTGCAGTCATTGGGAAATGGAAGAAGTTCAAGATGACTGTCAATCTCCCTCAGTCTGGGGCTTCGTGCAAGATCTCACCTCGTGGGGCATCAATGATCATGAGGAAGCTGAGGGATCAGCCCAGAACTACACGGCAGGTCCTGGTCAATGACCTGAAGAGAGCTAGGACCATCGTCTCAAAGAGAACCATTAGTAACACACTACGCCGTCATGGATTAAAATCCTGCAGTGCACTCGAGGTCCTCCTGCTCCGGTCAGCGCATGTCCAGGCCCGTCCCTCCCTCTCAAGTAACAAGAATCCGTTTGTTGAAAAATAATACATTTAAATTGATATTTCTGAAACCGAGTGACAGTGCTCACTCCACATGAACTACACCACCACCACCATGACTTTCAGTGAACGATGAAGCTTAATCACTACGGGCCTGTATGTTTGGACTGCCCAAAGGGTGGCCGTGTCATCAGTAGTCCCTGGTCGTCCCTGGCACTGGCTGCTTTAAGAAGATCTATATAGCAAAGGTTTGTTTGACTCGAGAGATGGAGCATCCTTTTATATGTCAAATAGCAAGACACACCTGTGCTTACTGATTAGCTTCTATTCTGTCATCACAGAATTTAAATTCATCTAATTGAACAACCTACAACCCCCCCAGTTGACAAAGGATCCCACATGTTATCCATTTTTGGAATGAACAAATTACATTATATTACCTTACAGGTCATTTAGCTGACGCTTTTATCCAAAGCGACTTTGCATTTTTAACCCAGGGTTTTTACATTTTTGCCCAGGGAGAAGTTAGGTGTCTTGCTCAGAGACACTTAGACATGGAGCAGCCGGCGCCCTCAGCAGGAGAGGCGCTCCCTCTCTACGCCATGCTGACCCCTAACAAATGTTAAAGTATGAGAAATACATACATTCTCACAACTTTCAATAATGAAACTTCATTTGAGATTTGAGTTTCTTTTCAGGTCATCAATATACAGTCAAATGTGGGATTTGTGCATTTGGGTATATAAATAAAGCCTGTTTTACATGCTTGGAGGGACATTTTTTTTAAAAATGGGTGTTAAAAACAAAAGTATCCTTATAACTTATATCCATTACAATATACCGTGTACAAAAACTAAAATAGCTGACAACTGCATGTCAACTGTCTTGCATAAAACAGTGATTTTTTGTGCCTTTTTAATTTTTATACAGTTATTATTATTATTACTATTAGGCAGCATCAATTTGTTTGGCGGTAAAAGCAGCTTTGTCATGTCTTCCTGAATGAGGCACTCTGGCTGTGCTGGAAGTGACACACTGCCTCTCCGAGTGGAGGGTTCAGAGTCTCTTTGCCAGCAGAGGGAGGAGAGAGATTAGCCTAAGACAGCTCTATTAGAGACTTAACCTGGGCTTTGATCATTCCCTGAGCTCCCCTTCAGATCAGCCTGAGCAACAGACGGCAAATCTGACAGGCTGCTGCTCTACACCACCACCACCAGCAACATCCATATCCCTCATAATGTAGCCAGGCGTCACTGTGATCAAAGACCCCCTATTGTGGGGACTGAGGGCTCCCATCTAAAGAGAAGCCTGGGAGAGAGAAAGTGAGCCTATCTAGACGGCACATAGTTGGTACGAATGTAAACATTACTGCACACTACAAAGCAGACAGATAAGAGCCTATTCATTTGGCCGCTGACTCCCCAAATAGGGAACATTGGACAGAAAAAAAACAAAAGTAAAATAAAGCACCGTAGGCCTTATTCCTAAAACTCATCACTTGCAGCAACGGAAGATTGCACAACATGCTGTGCTCTATAATTTGAGCTTCTTCATGAATTGGCTGAGGTTGTGATTGCCGTAAACACATTGCTGCATGAATTCTCTGCGCAATTACTTTGATGAAAAACAATTCCAGTTTACGTGTTAGTTAACACTAAATATGTGTGAGTAGCTAGTTGGGAACATTTTGCAACTTTGGTAAATCATGGATGTTACCAAAGTCAGCAATGTTAAAAATCCTTCACAACCTTCCATTCAAAAATATTCAACAGATTAAAGCTAAGCAAGCAGCTCTGTGGGTCTTAGACTGTGAGCCAAACATTAGCACACAAACTCACAATGGAAAAAATAATGACGTTAAGCAGCTGTAATATTTACCATGTTGGCCATCTTTATTTTGCATGATGGAATGCCAACATTAACACAACATGCAGCAGAGGCTGATGTGAATATCGGTTTTGCAGGATTCTCTTTGCACAAAGTTGGATTACTGTGACTCTGGAATATAACAGATTGTGAAGGGATTGGTCCTGCCTTTTTAACGTTTCCTTTTACACAGAGCACCATCGCAAAATATACTTCATCTTCATCACCGTTATGAACTGAATGGTGAATTTCCTGCTCCCCTATTCTCAATGCCTTACTCGGACCAAAACCCGGCCTTCAGTTGGTTCTCAAACCACACACCTGTAAAGTTTCTTCCATTCATCTTGTACGGTTGTGCCCATCCCACAAGAATGTGGACGTGGCAACAAAAGGCAACGACGCTTCATTTAAAGAAGGCATGTTGTATCTGTGTGGGGACGGGAGAGTAGTTTTAATTAAATTAATGTTGCTTTAAATGATTGGCTCTAAACTAGGCTGGACTAGTCTATTATTTAGTCGACATACTGTTTTATGGTGAGGTCGTCCGCAGGTGTCTCACAAGGTAATGACGTCACATCTTTTTGAGCGCAAGGATGCAGCAGAATTCTTCGGTTTCTAATCAATGCAGATGGATATTTCTGTGTTGTACAAAGCTCTTTGTCCAAACCGATAACTTGGATTATTTGTTCATTGTCCTTAGCATCTATTCATCTCGAACTTCACGTGCACGGCTTTTCTACCCATGTCATCAACAAACTGCAGGTTATTCCTCCGGGGCTGTATCTTGCTCATACCAATACTAGGCTAACGAAACCCTGCTTAACCCTCATTAAAACCGGTGACCTTTACACAAGAGAAAACACATGCACATAAAAGTATATAAAATAGCAAGAGCAAGATTGACTTGACTTCACTGACCTGGATGAACTGAAAATCATACAGAGACCTGAACTGATTTTCGAAAATATTCTAACCTACATTCTCCCTCCCTCCTGTTTTATAGTGTCCAGCTTAGTAAAATGTCTTTTCCTGAACAGCACTAATAGCTATCCAGGCTTAAAACCTTTACCAACCAAACACCAGCACCCTCACCTCTTTGTCTTATGTCTGATACATACGGAGCAGGGAACATCCCATGTTTGTATGAGACCAGGCTTTTCCCGAAAAATCAGTGAAAACCAATTACCTATTATTAGACACCTGCTTTTTAAATCTGCACTGAGACGTTTCAATGTACTGCATGAAGTCAAACTAAACTATACTACTTGCACAATCTATACTGGCAGTTAACAAAAGCAACAGTAATGAGTATAACAAGTTGTTTTATGTATTTTTTGCCAATTGTTCTTTCCGCCATAGACTCCCAACAAATCTTGCAAAATTAACCAATGTGACCTGTTTTGTTGGCAATGACATAAGTGTCTTTTACCAGTGAACGTAAACCTTTCACTCTAAAGAACATGGAGGTCATTGTGGAAATGTTTCCTTACCTACTGGCTGGTAGCCCTGCCTCGTCGGACCTCCAAAAGGGTTGCGACTGCCAAAGGAGCCTCCATCAATGGACCCATACGACATTCTGCCTGATGGTTGGTAACAAGTGTGCTGCAGCCACCATGGGAGGGAAACATAAGTTAAATAAACAACAAAATACATTTTATTTCTACTTTTTTCACTGTCTTTCTGGAAACAATTCCTAAAAGATGGCATTACAGGAGAAGGACTGGTAATCAAGGTTTTAGTAGGGCTTGCACCAAGCGAATAATGTACACCATGCAAAACAAATCTGACACAGAATCGGATTGTGTTTTACAGTAGGTCACATTTGGAATATTTTTCAAGATTTAAATAATCGTTTGATCAAATAGTCATTGCTGTACACTTCCATATGGATCTTGGCTCATCAGCATTCAAAGGGTTTCTTTCAGCAGCCTCTGGAATGCTGCTAAAATGCATTCACTGTATACAGCCTATTGAACTCTAATGTCCCTTATCCAATAAGACTCCACCGGTGTGGTTTCAAACAATTCTCACATATAGGGGAGATTTTTCGACGTCTGATTGGGGTCAGGTGAGGTGAAGTCCCAACATGGTTGAATATTAAAGTAATGACCTGAAATGGGCCTTTCTGTCTAGTTGAACTCAACCTTTGAAAAAATACATATGAGTCCAACCCAACACACACAGCCCTGCCACAGGTCGGCTCTTGCTTTTTTGTGATAAACGCCACATTTGTGTGCAGGGTGTAAGCTTTTTTCTGCTCGGTTGCCAGCTCTGGCTAAGCTAAGCCTTGTGTTGCCGATAATGGCAGCTGTGAAAAGAGTGGGGGACTGAATGAAACCAATGAGGTAGAGAGTTGCTGAGGAGCCAGTCAATCCGCCCTGCCAGGCCTGCATTCTCTATCATTTTGTGTCCTGCTGTGTCACACAGGGGTGCAGGCCACTCTTTTATTTTAGTATTCTATGTGCCAGGCTAAGCGCCTTTTTGCTCCGCACAAGCCCGGACTGTCTCCAGCCAACAGTTGCATTTCATGTGCTGGAAAAATCTCCCAAATCATTTTTGATGGGTTTTTTTTTGTGTGCTGTAAAACTGCTTTAACAGACTTGTTTATTAGGAGAGGAGTTACTAATGAGACACACGGGTTTATATTCATAAGATCACATTATCCTTTATTAGTCCTTCAGCGGGAAAATTCACAATTCAAATCATATATTAGTGTTCTGGTATAACATAATGTGTTATTTAAGCAATTTAAAATAAGAATGTTTGGAATATTTTGATTGTCATTTGGAAAGTTATCCAATGTCTATGCCGCATGATGGACTTTTGGAAAAACACGGATAATAGCTAAAAAGCTGAGGGTTCTATCACGCACCATGTAATGAATACTATAGAAAACACATTGAGACCAGTTTCTCATGTACAAATGAAAGGTTTGAGGGGCGACCCCTCGGTATAATGGTAGGGGAAACACTGCACTAAACAGTGCAGCTAAAGGGAGTAACCAAGCTGAAGCTGTCATTTCAAACATGGTTCATTTCCCTTCTGAGCTGTGAAGTGAATGAGCCGTGGATAACGGTGCTACTGTGTATTCAGTCTCACTAACTTGAGGGTTGATAATCAGTAACACGAATTCAAGCACTATGAACAATAAATCTACCACGATGTATCTGTTCCTCCTCTAACACATCTGGACAAGCAATCACTACAAATATGGGGCTGATGCTTCAGAGACGGGGTCGGGACTCGCAGGACAGAGTTCCACTGACGTCACCAGGGATGATGCCATTGAGTGCATGAGTAATGGGACAGCAGCGTATCTATTTTTTTAAATCGCCCCCTAATGACCCCGACTATCACTTTCACAACCACAGGGACTTATAATCTACAAAGAAGTGAAAGGCAAAGCTAGGTGTGTGTGTGTGTGTGTGTGTGTGTGTGTGTGCGTGTGATTGGGCATCTTGTAAGCAGATAGAAGCGAGGCATTTCCGCACTTCAGAGGGGACATGAGGCGCCGTCACTGGGCTTGAATTTAAGCAGAGAGAAGATTGTTTATGGCCTGCCAAAAGAAATAAATCTCCCTTCTCCCGAAAAATTAATCGGATTAAACATTCTCGTGGCCCAGTGGGTCCGTCTCCCTGTATTGGGCAGCCGCTCCTCTGCCCCCCTTCGTGCCCATAATCCCAGTCTTCACTGGCTCCACCACAACAATTGGCTGCACAAAGACTCCTGAGTGTAATCGCATTCCCCTGCTTGTCTGAATGCTTGTCTTTCACGGTGGGGGAAGAGTGTTGGCCGCTTGACCAGTATCGTATTCTGACCTTTGATAAAGATGCTCAAGAGCCGAGAGGAGTTTGTTGATTAGAGCTTCATCTGTGTGTCTGTTGCCGCGGGTGAAACACATGTTCACATGATGATTTGACCTTTCCAGCTGTATTCAGATGGGTATTCTGTGTAAGTGGGTTAACATCCTAAAGAGGATGACTACATATTCACTGTGTAGCAATACACATATATGGTTTTCCTCTTTATCTTTACGTGTCAGCAGCCAATCAGCAGGTTGGAATACAGATGAAGGAAAAAAAAAACGGACGTAAAGAACGTGAGGGCAGCAGAATTGGAGCGTGAACAATGAAGTTAATACTAGCTAGCCACACCAAGTGATGGCTTTTTCTTGCCTTTGGAGCGTGTAGCCGTTAAGACGTTGGCGAGGCGCAGAGGAAGAATTGGAACCACGTGGGTTTGTGCTCGCTGTCCTTTGATCCGTGCCGCCGAGGTCGGCAGTTCGCTGCCACCCAGAGATGCTTCAGAGCGCCCGAGTGCAAACTAAAGGAAAGACTTGAGGTGAAGTAAGCCGACTGTCATCAGCGAGCGATAGTGGAGAGGAATCACCGTGTTAATCGGAGACTGAGAACTCTGCCTGGACTTTGATTTGATACTTTGCCGTTTCTCCTGTGGACCAAATGAACGAGATTTTAGTATTTTGCTCGGGACCAAGTCGTAAGACTGTTGAAGGACATTTCCACTTAAAACTTTTATTTATTATTATTATTATTTTTCTCATTGTTCAGACTGAAACCATTTTCTGGTTGAAACAACTATTGGTCACCATTGCTGATTTTCTGTCACTTTACAGTGACTGAAAATTACAAGTTACACTGTAATGAATCTATTATCCATTACAAGGTATTTTCAATATTCTGAAGCGGTGAAGGAACGGTGTTTAATTCTATTTCCTTAGATAAATATGCTAGTATATATCTGAGTGCTCTGGTTTAGTATCAACCATGGAAGACTTAAGGACTATGTACCTGTTGTGGAAGTCCTACGTAGCTAATCACGCTCCTACGATACAGTGAATAGCAAAATAGTGAAGAATGAAAATAAAATATTAGATTTTTTAAAAAGTAATAAAACTGAGTCAAACCTAATATTGAACCCCAAAATATTTTTCGGCCACTTATTTATTTTCAATACATTGCTGTTTTTGAATTGATCAAAACTACATAGTACCATTTGCCAGTCAGACCGGCAGCGCCGCCAGCCCCCCTGTCGACCGTAATGGTCTGGCCCGCGTTCGGTCGAGGTGGGCTGCATCTGGCCCGCACCTGATTTGAGTTTGAGACCCCTGCATTAAACGGCATAAGTCCTCAATCCTGGAACTTTGCTCTCAGGCCACTATCTGATTGAAGCTCTATTAACTCCATCTGAAGGTGGCGCGGCACACAGTTGATTTCTGCTGTCGAGGGATGGCAAAGGTGACAAAGCTGGAGTGTTGTGTTCCGAAGTCAGAGAAGCGCCAATAAAACAAAAAAATAAGTGGCTCACTTTGGTAGCCCACCGAGCACAGAGGCTGAGATGCTCTGACAAACAAAGTGGGCGAGATTGTCCTGATTCAGTTGAGATTTCCATAAGGGAAGTTTATGCTTGAATGATGTGAACATGTTTGCATTCCTGCAGCCTCTGATTCATTTGGCCAAGACGCTCGCTTATGTCAAACATAGCAAAATCTCAAAGCCAGGTTGGACCAACAGGCAAGGGTTTTCCTTTACTTTGCATGAAATTAACAATTTTGTTAATCACAAAAAATAGTTTAAGGACTGTGCTCTGTATCCATCTCTGTAGAACGGCTGGAAACGTTGTCAGGCCTCGGGCGCATATGAAGTGGACCGTCATTTCATCCCTTTCCAGTGTCTTTCCACACAGAGCAGAGCGTCTTGATGGGTAATGATAGGTGTATGGTGCTAACTGTTTTCTGACTGAACGTTTTCTCCTTCATGAAGTTTGACCCAAATTTGGTTTGCGATGGTGTTTCCGGATAAAGTGACACACTATTCACTTTTAGCATGCACTGCTTCAAAAAGGCACCGTCTGAAAGCACTTTGTGGGCGATTTCTTCAGACATAATAAAGCCAGCTTTTACTGCTGCTTTAGCTTTTGTAAACATTTCCTGCTTCAATTGTAATCTGCCTTTTAATTATATTTTGCATATTTAGCTAGTGTTTGGTGACAAAATGCCGACATAAATCTCTTTCACCACCAAAACTGCTTCATAACACAAAATACATAACGGGTTGCCTCTTCGAGTGCAAAGATATTTCATTAAATTGTCTTCCTTTGAGATCAACTTTTCTCTTTTACTTGTTGCAAAGGGACCGATCATAACAATCGCTTGAAACCAATAATAATGACTATAGGGTCACGTTCTCAAAGACTTCTATAAAACGGGTATCGTATGCAGCCCCGTCGTAGAATATAGATCCGGACATGCAGTAAAGTTATGAAGGAAATAGAGACCCGTTAATGTCCAACTAGTTTTAAATTAGTTAAGTCAAAATTAGTCAAAACCGGGACTTTTCCAACCAAAGAAAGTTTACGTGGTAAGTTTGTGTCCTTATGGTTGAAATGCACTTATTGTATGTCGCTTTTGACATGTAAGCTAAATGACATGTAATGTAAAAGTGTGAGCTTGCTAATAGACTAAATTAATAGCTTCTTTGAAGATAACAGAGTGAAACACCATATATGTTGCCGTAACAGGAGGAACTCTGAGATACTTTGCTGTCTTTAAATGAAAGAGAGATTGGTCACTGATAGATATGCAA